ATGGATGAACTTGTCCTTCTGGGTCCATGCCTCCTCAAGCCGAGCAACCTTCTCTATTAGCATCTGAGTGTAGTCAGACATTGTGTTAAGTTCCCATGCACAAATATCCTCACATCAGCATTTATTCCAAAATATAAACAATACAAAGAAAAATCCCATACCCTCTTCTCCTGTTCTCGTTTCCTCCACAGACGAACAGCAGCCATAAACTTTGCTTTAAACGAGACATCCTGTTGATTTCCAACGGCTGGACCTGATGAGAAAACTCTGATTTATATTTTTACAACATATCAGAACACATTTCTTTAATAACACAAATACTTCCCATGTAATATAGTTCCCTACATCAGAGTATTATACACAATACTGTGGTGAATTTGAAATGTATGTAAATGTTTTTAAGAGGATGTCAGTGTAAAGGTTTTATGCTTGGTAACAGGTTTATGTGAGTATTGTTACCCATAGGGAGTTCTGGTCCTCCAGGTGCTAAGTCTCTACCATAGTCCACTCCTTGAGACCCGTGTGCCAGTGCAAGCTGCTCCTTCAGCTTCTTGACCTCAGCCTGTAGCTGCCTCACATTTCCCTGTGTGTCTTCATTGATAATGGCCTAACAAGAAATGATAATTGCACAAGGATGAGATTAGAAAATGCTCCAATTCTCAAATAATAAGAGATTAAGTTTTATCTTTTTTTTAACATTATAAAGCAGTGTTTGATGACACATACCTTATTCTTGATCAATTTTGCTCTCTGTGCAAAGTGCAAAGTAGACAATGTTTCTCCAAAACACTTTGAACCGGGGTGTACATTAGCAATGATATAAGTCTTAGCATTGCCTCCAAGAGAATCCTTTTGTGGGGAAAGAAACACATCAAGCTGTCAAAGTGCAGAATACCTTTTTAAATTAGAAGGTGCAGTCACATCTTTCAATTTATAATAAAAATTAAATCCACAAAGGAATGTGAAAGCATCACTTACTCTTAGCAAGAAGGTGAGTTTAGAGTCCCTGTAGCAGATGTGGCGGTTCTTCCCATTGGACACATCAACCAGTGCCATGATCACCTGACCCAAGCACATGAGGGAGCGATTGATACTGCTGGCCTCCTAAAAGAGAATATTTACAGAAAATACCTGTTGGTAAAAGACAAAATAATACAAGAGGGATACTAAAATGCAGAAAAATGTAAGATTGAAGCTTTACCTTGAGTCTGGAGCCTTCTGCGTGTGTGTCTTTCTGCCTCTCAGACCCTGCCAGATCAACCAGGTTCAACTGAGACATTCGAATGTTCACTACTTCATTAATGGACTCTTTGGACTCCAGAGTCATGGTGAACACTGCATGAGATCTGGAAGACTCGCGGTTCATAGAGGTGGAGGCTACTCGTCGATTACGCCAGCCCATAGACAGCACCTTAAGTGGTTTATAAACAGATTATCAGTGCACTTCTATCAATATATATCTCAAGATAGCGCCATATAATCATGGGTTTAATGTAATCTTGGAAATATGAATTTGCATGATCATAATCAAACTGGATACAAGACGTTCAGATTATAGCCTTCCTTACTAGTCAGGCATGAGTGTTACCTTGTATTACAGTAAGCACAATAACCTTTGATGAGTCATAAATCGCAAGGAATTCATACCTGGTAGGCTTCAGCAGCTGAGTTGACGACCTTCTCCACAGCTCCCTCAACAAACATCCCTTTCTTGATGTTTTCCCTGAGGAAAAGGCTCGCTGAGGCTGTGTCCAGAAGGTCGTAAATTTGTTCGTTGTATATTTCAATAAACGAACATTTGCAAAGGAAACTCTTAGACTGAGCAGACTTTAAGGAAAAAGAACAAACAAAGCACAACATTTATTAGAAAACCAGCATAAAAAAAAAAAATTGGGTTTGCAACACTTTCATAGTAATAACATGTCCCAGCTCACCCTTTCCTTTTCTCTGTTGATGAGAAAAAACAAGTATTCAAAACTTCGAGGAATAACACCTCTAAGTTCATCTGTGAAGTTATCCAACTCAGATGGGCCTGGAGGGAGAGCGACAAAAGTCAGAAAGAAGTCCAGTGTAGAATAATTCCAATGCTGGATATGGTATTTCATAGTACACAAAATAATGATCATATTTCAGTCTTACCAAGCATGGTGAATGTTTTCCCTGAGCCTGTTTGTCCGCTGTAAATCAAGAGAGGTATCTGATGAGGAACTGTGCTGCTCATGTCACACAACCCAAATCAATAGTGTCAATAATATACATATAATATCTTCTTATTTTACACTATAAATAAAACTTTAAGTCCACTTACTAGGCAAATATTGTACCATTATATCCATTGATGCAAGACTCGACAATATTCTTAGCCACACTGGAGAAGACAGAGTCCTGTGGAAGAAGGTTGGATAACTATCAGGCAAATACTGACCAGGACCAACTAAAGATTTGATTTATCCCAGAAAATCCAATACTTTTATTAACTCAAACTAGTTTTACATATTGTTTTAACATTATATGTTTAAAATAGGATTACAGCGTGCCCCTACCTGAGATGTGTCCATATCAGCAACATGATCATAGGTGAATGTGCGTGGTTCTGGTTTTGAGAGCAGACGGATGGTGTTAGGTGAGGTAACTGTGAGACACAGATTCTGATCTCCATCTGTGGTCAGCCCGGTTCCCTGAGTCAGAGGTCGCACTCGAACAAAAACTTTAATGGAGTCGCTGTCACTGCTGTGGGAACAGAAAACAAAAACAACACACGGTCTCTTATTTAAAAAAAAAAATAAATTAAGTTGTCGATGTTAAAAACAAGCAGGTAGCAGTAATTTTGTAACTTATGCCACCTTTTTTTTAAAGTTTGGAAGACATGAAAATGTTTATTTATTTGCAGTTTTTTGTGTAAAGAAAACAGTAACCACACATGTGTAATGTACGATACATTTGTGGTATTAACCCTGATCCCCATGTGCTCTATGGGGTATGGGAACTGTCCCATGTAAAGATGAGCTTTGGAGGACTTTGTTAAAGCTGTGATGAAAAGAAAAGTGTGAGTAGTGAGAACAGGTAGCACCTTACCTGGCGACCAGTTGGGATGAATCACCAGATCCTGTCAACAAAATATTAAATAGTTACATTTGAGTAAGAGATTACTAAACTGTGTGTACACAATGGCTAAAACACAAAGACACTGCCTACTGCGAGTATTTTAGCTTTGCCTAACTCCAAACAGATTAAAAGTAACGCTTCACAAAAACGGTGAACATCGGCGTCGACAAGTTTGACGTTTTGTGGCTTTTGTCATCATATTCGTTTGCTAAATAAACAATATATTGTTGTTACTTTACCTCTTCCACTCGAATTCATTGTGAGAAAAAAAATGATCTTGTTCTTAGTTTTGCTGGAAGATTAACTTTCTACATAACACAGTCAACGGGAGAGAGCACGACACTGTTTACATCCCTCAAAATTGGCGGGCAGGTCGTCCTCCACTTCTTCTTCTTCGTGGTGTGCTGTGCGCTTCTTCTTCTGCTTCATTCGGGCTTCATCTGGAGTGAATGGCGCCACCTGTTGTGTCGGAGAGCAACAGCATAACTTCGTGAAGAGCCAAAGACCCGGATGTTAATATGAGCACTGTTTCATAGTGATAGTAAAAACAAGCCCTTTGTATTCTTATATTTTACTATCTAACATCTCAGCCAGAAAGCTTTAAGTTTCCCTTTTTAAATTTAGATTAAAACAGTGAATACTCAATGTTATCTTTAAAGCTGAAGTACATTGTTTTCACTTTGTTTATGCTTTAAAGCCTCTACCCTTTCTTCTTTGGTTATTGGACCAAAATAAAAGTGCTTATCTTCATCTGTTGCAGCGAGCATACCACAATTTTTTATTTTATATTCTGTTGACACAGAATTGTGCATGTTTGTCGTTCTTTTATGGCCCTTCCCTACAACCTGTTGATTCCCTTTTTTTTCTATTAATCATTGCCTGTCTCACCCTTCAAAAGATATTAGGTGTCAGAGAAAATGACATCTTGAATAACTTGAGGGATATTTTGTGGAGACTCCAGTTCTCTTATTGAATAGGATTGAGTTTACATAGGCCCTACTAACACATTTTTAAAGCACACAGTGTCTTTAGTCCAAGTAATAATTTTAAACAGTATTAGGTTCTGCTAACGCTGTCACCAATAATTATGTCCTTTGTTTTTGTTGTTTTACTGTCTAGTGATGTCTTGGTTTGCAATCAAGCACTAAAATACCTACTGTACTGCACAACAAACCATTTGATTACTTTTAAACAGACAAATAACAGATCATGATATAATACACATGGTAAAAAGGCGAGTCTCATGTTTACAGTCAGAGCACGGAAAATAAATCTCTGTAATAAAAATAAATCAGAATTGGACGTTGTTTCCAAAAGAGCTTATGTAATGAAGGCACTCAAAAAAACGAAAGGACAATTTGACTTAAACAAAAAATACTGCACAATTCCTACATTAAATGTGTATGCTTTTGCATGGAAAGCATTAACATTAAAGATTTTTTTTTCACTTTTCTCACATGCCTCTCAAACAAACTAATTAACTTTTGAAAGTTAAAGGTCACATATTGCGCAAAATACACTTTACCATGTTGCTTAGTTTTCATTCAAAATTTGAGATTTGATGTTTGTTTGTTTTTCTTAAATTTATTGTTTTTTTTTAATGAATTAAAATTGAAAAATAAAAATAAAAATAAAAATAAAAATAAAAATAAAAATAAAAATAAAAATAAAAATAAAAATAAAAATAAAAATAAAAATAAAAATAAAAAATAGTTTTTATGTTGACAGCATTGTCTTGTCATCTGTTATTTCGGAAGTTTGTCCTTGTGGGCTGTCCTCGATTGGGTCATATCCGCTTATCGACGTGATTGGCTGCTGAACCAGGAAAAGGTTTCCTTTGAATGATTCCGGCGATTTTATTGGTCCGTTTCAAGACTTTTAAATTCCAAACGGTTGATTCTCACAGTAGACGAGGCAGTTTCAAAAGCGCATCATTATAGTTTGAACAGCCTGCACTTCAAGTCATTGACGAATTACGTTATATTTTCGGACAACTGCATTGGTGTTTTAAGGTAGGTGGAAAATATAGAAAGCAAAAGTAGAGTAACTAAAACCTTGATCGGGTTCATAACTTTGACGCTTTTGGGTCTTACGTTAGATCTTACGTCGCTACGTTAGATGATAACATAGTTACAAAGTCGTGTTGTTATTATACTGTCAAAGTTTATGTCTAGTTTTGTCAAGAGTAGACTAACCAAAGGGTCGAGATGGGACTTCTGTGACAAATGCCTTGCAGACGTTTGTCCTCGATAACCGTAAACTTAAATGCGGATGTTGAGTCCAAGTTAATGTGAAACACTGACTTCAGATTGAAAACGTGGCTCGTATTGATCACATGACATCAGTAAGACAAAGGCATCTTTATACTGCTCCAATGGTGAACGAACAAAAGGTGCGTGAAAGAAATGTCTTATGATTCAACAGATGTTTTTTTTGTGCATGACAGTGTCTCAGGTTATTACCAGAGGCTCCTTTTTCAACCAGTTGCACATTTATTTCTCCTTCTCGCAAATGTCAACATAAGGGGGAAAAATGTCCATAGCCTCATCTGAGCCCCAAGTCATTCACCTTTTCATTTTTGCCTTGTATTTTAAATGTACACTTCGATTTTTAATTTTTTTTTTTATCACATATTAGTTAGGAATTTTGAGAAAGTGACAACCTAGTTTGACATTTTACAGACGAATACTAAACAAATGAGCGCTCTCTGGTGGACAAATTCTGTAATAGCAGAAACCTTTCTATACTTTTTTTTGTTACTGATCAATTTATTCATTTTGTTTGACACCAACATATATTTGAAATCAGTATAATTTACTGTGTAGTGCCAGCCTTATTTTTTTTTAGTCCTCAGGGGATCTTTATTCAAAATTTGAGGCTATTTTTTTACCTTCTATCATGCAAAACATGCTTCTCTAGAAGGAGTGTATTATATCAATACAATTATAGAAATACATAAACCAAGACTTATAAACATGAAGATTGATTTAGTCATGCTTGTCTTATGATTCTGGTAAGTTTATGAACTTTGGGCTCTGCACAGATCAGTAAACCCCATGACCTAAACTTTCTTATCAACCGTGAGCAGCTTTAAAGGGTGATGTCAGGATGTTCGTTCCAACCCCTCTAACTTAGAGTTTGTCTCTCTGCTTTTCACAGGATGAGTTCGGTTGATGTGAATGATGAGAATCGTGCTGTCTGCCTTGGAGGAAAGCATAACAGCTCAATTAATGACATTTTTGCCCTGGATCAGCCGACTGGGAGGCCGTCTATCCTGCGCCAGACAGAGAACCTGCCCAGCAAGACGGTGCCAAAAGCAGCTAAGGTACTAGTCTGTTCACTCGAATGTTGTGTCCCCCATGTCTTTGAATATTTCAATACTCCATCATGATAGAAGGCTGAAGTCAAGTTACACTTAAGTATGACCATTTTGGAATGCTATTAGATTTTGCAAACCACAAGCAGTTCACAAGGAAATACAGTATGTTAGCTTAGCTGCTTCTGTACACCTTTTTTAAAATATTAGACTTTTTGACCAAAATCATTTTTACCTATTCAGCTATTTCAATATGTTCACAACAAGATATAACGCTCATGTTGATGGCTGAAGCCAAAGGGATAGTGTGCTAAGTAAACCAATTTTGTGTTTATAGGACGGGAGGGACTTTTCCTTTCTTTTCTTTTTTTTGACTTTACTGATCAAATTGCTTGTCTACAGGTTTGTTTTCAGACTCCAAGAAGAGACCCCGTGACTAAAAGAATCGTATCTCCATCCAAGTCTGTCAAGATGACAAGCTTGGACGAGTGTACTAAAGCATTGGAGTCCTTAAATTTGGATATGTCAAAGTAAGAAACATTTCACGTACTTCAAAATGCCCTCAGAGACTTAAATAAACAATTATATTAAAGTCTGTTTGTTTTCACAGCGTTTTGCCACAAGATGCCATTGTTCAGTCTGATGAGCCCAAACCTGGTAAATAATAACATTTTACAAACGCCTTATATGTCTATAAATGCTGAACATTTCTGATTTAATTTGTATTTATTTATTTTCACAGAAGAGTCGTCTTATCCTGATGATGACATGCCGATACAAAGCAAAGGAGGCTATCAGTTGGATTTTGACAACCTTGATGCTGTCGACCCATTTCAAGGATCTAACAAGATGGTCCTCTCTCCTGCAAGACCAGTTGTTGAAAACCCACCTACACCTGAAACTGATCCTCAACACACAGAACCAGAAAAGATCTCAGAGGAGCCTACCAAAATAGAATCAGCACTAGATGAAACTCTCCCATTCACCACCTCTGTGGAAAACTCCCTGGTTGACGTCTCTGCAAACATCAGCTCCACAGAGAGCAGCGTTGTCACCGTTGTGAGAGTCCCAGCGGTCGAGGAACAAGATTCATGCACTGCCACACCTGATGAAAAACAACCTGCCGAAACATCGACAAGCTTTAATCAAGACAAAGTGTCAGGCAGTTTCATTGAAGATGCTCCACTGCCAGCGAAAGGTTCATACAGCTTGGATTTTGACAACCTTGATGAAATAAATCCTTTCCAAACCGGTGGCCCTAAAATCCAGAACTCCCCTGTACTTGGGAGAAAAGAGCCAGACAATATCCCACCCGTCGAGGAGATCAATATTAAGCAAGATAAACCCATAAATGTTGAATTGCCTGAGGTGCCTCAGCAGGTGTCTGTTCAGCCTGAAGTGAAGCCCATAGCTGCAGTGGCCCCAATGTCAGCTAATGCTGCTGAGTCTGTGTCCCAGCTAGCTGATGCCCCTGTCACAGGAGAACCGGTCAAACTCGAGTTCAGTTTCAATGATGGCAGCAAGGTCAAACAGAAGCCCCCACCCAAGAAACTCGGCGAAAGGCCACCTGGTGTAAAACGTAAAGAGGGAAAGCCAACATCAGATATCAAACCACCAAGAGAAGCTCCAGTGATGCCTGATGCCTCTGACGATGCTGCCGTTCTGGCTCCCAAAGTGTCTTATTCGTTTGACTTTGATAAATTCGACGACCCGAACTTCAATCCCTTTGGCACAAAAGCAAGCATGCAGAACTCTCCGATGTGCAGCAAGAAATCTGTCCCTGTGCTCATGGAGACTTCTGTTACAGAACAAGTGGAGGAGCCTGCAGAGAAGGAAGCTGTTTCAGAACCATGGTATGTTACCTTTTTCTTATCTGAGTCTATCAAGAATTTCACTGCCGTGGACACTTTATGTGCCAGAAGCACTTCATTTCTCGGCATGAGTTTGTATGCCTTTTTGCCCTCTGTAGTGCTGGAGAGAGTGTCCCAGCTGCCGTCCCCAAGCCCGGAGTGGTAAGAGAAGTATTACACTTTGGTACAATACTACTACATTTTTCCTTTGTGTGTTTCTCACATTTTTTTTTTTTTGAATGACAGGATGTTGAAGCCAAGGTTGCCTCTGACCCTGACAAGACATTTCAACTTGAAGCTGAACAACCTGTGGAGAGTCCTCCTGAGCTCAAGTCAAATGCCATCCTGCCAGAATGCATTGACGAGTTTGTTCCCGGAACTGTTTGTAAGGACCTTTTTGAGTTAACTCTATTTTATCAAGTTTAACAACACAATTTGAGATATTGTGTAGTGCTAGTGTATAATGCGTCCATTTAAAAAAAAAAAAAAAAAAAAGAGCTTATTTTGAAGTGAACCTATCCTCTTTATTTCCAGTCATGGCCAATGATTTTGATGGACAAATCGATTACCTTGAACAGTTTGGATCCAGCAGTGTAAGAACTATCTGCGAGTGAATGACGACATTCTTTCATTGTCAATGCACGACCTGAATTTATTTTGATTACATTTATTTTTTTGTCTGCAGTTCAAGGAGTCTGCACTGAGGAAACAATCCTTGTACCTTAAATTCGACCCACTCCTGAGAGAGAGCCCGAAAAAGTCTGCAGGCCCGGCTGCTCAGACCCACTTCCCCGCCCCTCTCCCTTTGTTACACGGTATGACACACTTCTGTTTTCACTTACACTGATTGCTGCTGTTAGCGAACGTTTAAACTGAATTTGTTCTGCTCTGGAAATTCTGTACAAAAAAATGAAATTTGACTGAAATGGAACCACCGTGACTGCTTCTCAAGTGCCGTTTTTTCTTTTCTTTTTTTCTCTCGTCCTGATTCAGACTTGAAAATCCTCAAGAGACAGAAAAGACTGCACATGCAACACAAAAGGATCATTTCAAACTGTTCGATGATGCTACAGCACCTGTAAGTCACTATTAGCATATGTTGTGTCTTAATGTATGTTAAAGTGTGGAAGTGCCTGCCAATTGTTAAAAAAAAAAAAACAGTCATTGCATCCTCTCCTAACTTTATGTATTTACTCTGTAACTGTCATCTAGGCTCCTCCAATCCTTGAGGGTCTCGTCCCTCTTTTCCCCCAGCAAGCAAACACAGAGGACGCCATTATTGAAGTGCTGAAGTACAGTCAGAAAGATTTGGACGCAGCCATCGCCAGGGTCACAGCAGAAGTATGTCCTGCTAAATATTTTGTGATTTGACAAAAAAAAAAAGGTTTGTCATTTAAAGTGAGATTGTTGGGGTGGATGTAAATTCAATGATTTTAATGCAGACTTTAACAACCACTCCAGATCTTTAATGATAACTTGGCTTTTCAAACCCACTCACATAGTTTCAACCACCATACTGTCTGGATGAACTTCAAGCATACAGGTTTCTTTGATAATATATGCTTGTGGTTCATCCAGAACGTATGGTGGTTGAACACTTTAGGCTTTAAGACCCAAACAGTAGGTTTTCTGAATGAACAATGATTAAACATATTACAGGTACCTAAAGAAATAACAATAACTGTGTATATTTTCTATTTTCCATTAGGCAACAGAAAATGAGGAGCAATGGACTGCAAAATATAAAAAGCTACATGGCGATGGTCAGGAGATGAGGTGAGCTCAGAGTGTAATTTGGTTTTGTCATTTCATTTGATTTCAGTGTTGTAGATATTTTACATTTGTTTCTCTCTACACAGGAAAATTATTGCAGAATTTGAGCTTGTGATTGCAAAAATGATGGGTAAGTTAAAATACATTATGTGGCGTAAAAAATTTTTGATGTACTGTTGTGTAGTTAATCTTCTTGCATCTTTTAGCCGATCAGGAGAAGGAGAGGGAGGTGTCCCAGGCGAAGCTCAAAGAGGTCCTGTTGGAGAAGGATCAGGTGTCCAGTGACCTGAACGCCATGGAGAGATCTTTCTCTGACCTTTTCAAGAGATTGGAGAAGTACAAGGATGTTGTTGAGGGTTACAAAAAGGTAAGAGCCACAAAAGCATGACACATATGGAGGTGTGCACAAAAGCTGTGGAAGTTTGATTGGTTCACTGTTTGATTATCCCCAGAATGAGGAGACGCTGAAAGCTTGTGCTCAAGACTATCTGGCAAGAATCAAAAAGGAGGAGCAGCGCTACCAGACCCTTAAAGCCCACGCTGAGGAGAAAATTACACTGTAAGAAACCTGACTACTGTGTTACGAGTGTCAATTGGAAGACTATGAAGTGTCTAACTGGCTTTTATTCTTGATTTCAGTGCGAATGGAGAAATTGCTGAGGTGAGGTCCAAATACAAGGCGGAGGTATCGGGACTGCAAGCACAGCTGCGCCGGGAGCAGCTGAAGGTGCAGTCACTGGAGAAGAGCCTGGACCAGAAGGTGAGAGGAAAAAAAACAAATAGTCGAGAATATTTACAAAGGTTTTGCACTATTGTCAGATTTTTCTAATGTCCCTTATATTTTATTATTTTCAGGAGAAGGAGGCAGAGGAGCTGACCAAACTCTGTGATGAGCTGATCGGCAAAGTCCAGAGGGGTTGAGCTTATTTGTAAATACTGTAAAATATTTCATTTTTCTTTTTGTTGTTGTCCACATCATTTTCTTGTTTGTCTCTTTCAATGTTCTTAAACTGTAAGTAAATAAAGATGATTTAGAAGTTTAGAGCCTGTGTGATAATTAATAGACCTATATTTTATTTCTGTTTGCATGCTGATGAACCACTTGGGGGCAGTAATTGTCTTCATTATTAGAGATTTTTTTTTGTCAACAATTGGTATGTTTGAAGAAAACAAAAAGAAAGATAAAGTATTCACCCACTCCCTAAGAGTGTGGAGCCAAAGCTCATCTCCATCCTCTGATGCTTACAACCAACAAGAAGAGCTCATCTGACACAATGCTCCCCTTCTTTCCTGTGCAATCACAGGCTCCTGTCACATCACTCCCACAGCAGGACAATGCACTTCCTAAATGGTGAAAGAATATCCTACCTAGATTGCAGTTGAATGAGGTGGTAGTGCAGATCAGAGTGAGGGGAGGCAGAGTGGGTTGATTCACTTAAATGGGATGGGGGGGAGAGAGAGATGCTGGTCACTCTGTAGTCTTGCAGGGGCCGTCACTCATCTGAAGAGAGGACCGTGAGACTGCTCTTGTGTCTGTGCTGTATCTATTCAGGCATTCATCCCAAGTATTTCTGCTGGCTGCCCTCTCTGTCACCCTCAGACACTTCAGTTTGCTCAAAGGAAGAAAGCTGACCTGTCTGTACTCTTGACAGGTAACTACGTTTTGTTTTTTTGAATCCAAAAGGGCTTTGACAGGAGACCAGAGGGTTGAACAAATGCATGTAACTTATTCCTTTCAGGTGATTTAATCAAACTACCAAACCATCACACGTTAGATGATGTAGTTTTAGAGCCTTGAACAGAGTACATCATCATACAAGATTGTCAAATATAACAATTACATACAGAAATACCTAAAATATTGGCATGAACTAAAGTGATTACACTAGATGACAGAGAACTCAAAATATACTATACATAACAACAATATACTTTAATAACATTACATAGATATGTAAAAAATGCCTTAATCTGAAAAATAAACCTTTAATACATTTCTTAGCAAAATAAATTAAATATTCATGACTCGTTTGATTATAAATGACTACAGCTTCATAAACTGTGGTTGGATAAGTGGAGGTCTAAAAGAATGCAAGTTTACCTCAACATGCTACTGACTGATGACGGAAATCTACCTTACAAAAGTTCAAATGATAATGAAGACCAAATCAGTTTACACAGAAACACAATTCCTCCATCCCTTGCAGTCTTAGGCAAGGTTTGTACGCCATGCAAAGGCTCGAAAACTTACCGTTTTACTCTATTTCACTTTTAACAGGACAAAGTGAGGGATGGAGGAAGGTAACACGGATAGTGGTCTAAATACCAAACATAATGCATCTTGTACAAACAAAAGGGCTACCTGAGTAGGAGCGTAAAGAACAAGCTCCTTTGTAAATCTAGAGTACCGTTTCCATCTTCACTCAGGCAGACAGTACGGAACCTCTGCACTCCGACAGCTGAAAAAGTGAAAGGTAAACCTTACCTCCATTTTTTTCAGCTACAGTTCAAACAGGAAAATGCAACTGCTGAGGAGGAGCTTTCAGCTGGCCATGATAGCTGCAACTAATTCATGCTTCAAAAAAAGTCCTTGTCCTTTTTCAAAGTGCACAAGGATTCATGGATTTTAGTGGTGTGAGGATCTGAACGGTAAAAAAAAAATGAGCACCAAAAATGGAACTTTGGATGTATCACTGGCCACTGTTCTTCCCAAATGCACTCTCTGGACAATCTCTAGAAGTGTCTGATGAAGCTTTTACAGAGTAATGCCAGGTGAATGTCCCTCAGGAGTTCCATAACGCACTGAAACAGTTAGTGAGGGATATATGGCATTAGGCTAACACTGAAAATGAATGTGTTGATGCTGATGTACTTTCCCATCCACGTGGGAGTGAGTGTGCGTGTGAATGTCAGTGTAGATTTTGGGGTAGATTTTAGGGGGAATTGTTGGTCCTCCCTGGCTGAGGAGGAGTTGCTGCTGTGCCAGGTATTCCTCATAGTTTATGGAGCTCATGCAGTCCTTCTCCGGGCTGGAGGAGCTGGAGGACGAAGCCACGCAGCCTCGATCCCGCTCTCGATAGGGCAGCCGGTGGGTGCTCTGCAGTACCTGTGCAGTTGCAGGAGCGCTGGGTGGGGGGCAGTGTTTTCGGCTTTGGCAGAACCACAGCAGTACCGTGCCAAAGATGAACACTATCCCAGCAGGGATGCCGATGATGACTGGCCAGGGGAGGGAGCTGGAGGCCGGAGAGAACATCGGTGTGATGGGAGGCTTTGTGTCTGCAAAGGAAGAAGGCCAAAATAGAACCAAAACATGTTTACAACTTCGAAACAATGCCAAAAGTTTGTTTAATGCTCAGGTGAAGTGCTTGAGGCTGAAATATTTCATCATTTTTGTTGTTAATTTAATCAATTTTTTTTTTTTATCAATTAAACTTCTGAACAACAGTTTATGAACAGCAGATGCTTTAAAATTAGACCAGAGAAAAATGTAAATCTCCTTCTCCTATTAGAAGATGGCCCATCTGCTAACATCAAATAATCACAAGTTCAATGTCAGCCAGGACATGCCGCTGAAAGCTCTGCAGTGAGCAAGTCAATGGATCTTAACTTAATTTTAATGTCATATCAATTACTATTAATTAAAATAAATCATCAAAGAGAAAAGCCACAAATAATTGAATAAGTGAGGCAAAAACTATCAAGAGGCCTTTCTTGAATTGACTTATTTATAACTTATACTGTTATTAAGATTTGATAAATCAAGTGTTCATTTTACTCTTGAAGGCTTATTGCTTCCAATATCTCCTTTCGTAATGTACAGAAAAAGGCCTTAAACCACTTCTAAAACAAGATAATGTACATGCTCGTCTTGCTTGAATTTGGTTGATTTGTGTTTATTTACTGAAGAATCACACGAGTCCAAAACACACCAAAAATATTTATACACTTTGTTGTCATCTGTCTTTCTTACTTTTAACTGACATGTATGCATTCAGTTTGACATTCCTATAATGTTATAATGTGCACCAGCGCAGATTCCTAAAATAAACAGAATAAAATATACAATCTGAAGGCAAAGCTCCTTGTTGAAGCTACTTATGTGTTTCTCTGTAGTATGTTTGCAGCAAAGCCTGCAGGGTAAACTGTAAACAGACAATTCCCAGTGCTCACCTGGCAGCACAGTGAGAAAGGCGCTGCGGAAACTGTAGCCCATGGTGTTGGCGCCTAAGCAGATGTACATGCCGGCGTCCTCCTCCTTGGCTCGGGTAATGAGCAGCTTGTTGAGGTAGGAGCCGTCGGGTCGTGACCACACCTCCCCTGTGGGCAGCACAACGAATCTATGGTCCCCCACCTCTATGGTGGAGTTGTAGCGGCTTTCCTCATTGGACTCGACGCGTTTGAGCCATTGAATAACTGGCTTAACGTCGCTCCTCACTTTGCACTGGAACGATGTGGTGCCTCCGAAGTCCACTGTCGTGTTCACCGGATGAGTTCCCGTCAATACTGGCTTGGAGTTTGTCCTCTCTGACACACAAACACACAGAAAAACTGTCAAAGACACATACAGACATCTTTTGACATGACAGCCCTTCTGCAGTTAGGAAAGGTCTTAGTTGTGCATGGCAGTATTAGCCTCTGGCTTAGAACTAATAATTGAAAGGGAGGGAGGAATACCACATGTAACACAAGAGGTATGTGTGATTAGTTTCCTCTCTGTCTTTGCTCCTGGTTGTACAGGACACATTTCTCATGGGAGAAAGGGGGGGGGGGGGTCTGGCAGACAGCTGGGCTTTAATCAGCTCCAGATTGGGTGGAGGGTCTCTGTGTTAAACAGCTTCTCTCTCTCTCTCTCTCCCCCCTGTGCAAACACCAGGGCACAAGCCGTTGCTCTCAAGCCTGCTTCCTCAATATGCTTCTCATATACATGATTACACAAGCACATTGAACCATGCAGTAAGGATATGAATAAGACCTGCTGATCGCAATCAGACGGCAGGGGTTGGTAGATCAGAGAGAAAACTGATTTTTAAAGGTTACAGTTCTACCTAGGCTATTTCCTGCAGCTACAAAAGATCACAAAAATGATCCAAACAAACAGCAGTAATCATTTAGATTAATACTTCCCGGGGAATATGTCTGGTATGTGTACAGCTCAGCCTCTCTGTGGGATACTCACGGATGACCTCAACTTTATACGTGGCATTGATTTCCCCAGCCCGATTGGAAACCCTGCAGGTGTATCTGCCGCTGTGCTCAGGCGTCAGACCCTTCACACTCAGAGTCCACTTATTCTGATGCTCCTTGCCAACCTCCTGCTCCGTAAGGGGTCTGTCGTCCTTAAGCCACACGATGTCTGGTCGAGGATTTCCACTGGCCATGCATTTTAGGCGCACCGAGCTGCCGACAGGACGAGCAATAACCCTTTTTCTCATCTTAGCGGGGTGGGTGAAGCGGGGACGCACTTTATTGAAAAAAGAGGACAAGTTTTGTAGTTGACACATAAATTAATATGACAGTTTCCATGATAACCGTCATTACAATGAGACATCTATAGAAATTAAAATCAATTTTAATTCACTTGAACGATATACTTATGATATGTTTTTCTGTCTGCTTCAAACACCCAAGGTGTATGATGAGGAAATAATGGCATTGCTTCCTCTCATATTATGTTGCATGATTGAATGCAGTCTTGATTGATTCAATCTGCACTGAAACTGAATTATGAAATATCAATAATGTCACTAAAATAAAAACAGAAATTCTGTTCACCTGGATTGACTCCACAACAAAAAGACTCAAAGAATCAGCCAATCAAGTTAATTTAAAACAGACACTACATTCCTGGCCATAAAACATGTCAAAAATCAAACAGAACACTGCAGAATTGTTTTCAAAATGTAAGTGTGATTTAAAGTCTATGTTTCCTGAAGTTAATAGAATAAAACATACAGAGCAACTGGTATGGTCCCTTATTCCGCCACTGCCTTATTGATAAAAAAGGAACAGAGCCCTTACCAAATTTTTCTATCAAGCCATCAGTGCCCAGGTCAGACTCAGCCCCCACAGCCGTCCCAGGTCCTTTTTTATCAGAGCCTGAATCATCTGTAAACACAAGACAACAGTTGAGTTTGAAATCAATCATCTTTTGTAGGGAAACTTGAAATTGTGTGGCACAGAATTCTGTATGAATAACTGTAGTTAGTAGTTTTCCAAAGATTATTTGGTCAAACCACTATTTCCTCCAATTTTTAAGGATGGACGCATGGAATGCTGCCACATAATTCTGAAGCATAACAGTAACTTAGTATCAACCACGTGCTTCATAAGTTACCAATAAAACATCTTTCAGTTTGTGTGTCCATAATTAAAGCCCTGTGAACAATGAGATATAAGGAAGAAAAAGAAAAGAGAAGAAAATTAGAAATGCTTCACCTCATAATGCACAGACATACAGGCGTCCATCAACAACAAACAACTTGCATTGTCACAAAGGTGTCACCTTTTAAGACTTTCCACTAGACTATAGTTTTCATTTTTTGATAGTTTGACCGCCACAGCTGTTATGGCAGTGGCCCAACACCAAACAGTCCCTGCAAAGCTTTCTTGGCTCTATCTGAGTAAATTTAGCATTTATAGATAGGCTTCTCTAAGTGGGGTGCATGTTAAGGTCAAACTCTGTAATATTTGGCAGTAATATGATCAGTTTTCATAAGCCCAGTTTCAGAAGACAGCTGTGGTGTTTATGTCATCGGCTGACATCATGCAGCGGAGCTAAGACAGGGCTTAGAGAGAATATAATGAGGGAAACTTAACCGAGGGTATGTGATGCATATCAACTTTTTAAGTTGAGCATTGATGATTTAACGCAGCAGATCAGGTTCCTCTCCAATAACTTCCAACCAGTACAAGTGGGGACATTAAGTAGATGATTACTGAAGAAAAGCTGGTGTTAAATAAATTTAAGTAATACTATTGAGGTGTTACTTTATGATGATATATTAGCATCGCCAATTTATTAACCATTAATCAAGGGAAAAAGAGACCCAATTTCCCAATCTAAAGGCCAAATTAACTGTTTGTTTTTACACTGTTTGTTTTAAGAACTTGCAACCAATTCTGTACTTTATACATTTATTTTATTCTCGAGCTCAGTGTAGCCCCAAGTTGGATTTTTCTAGATGCAATTAGGCACACTTGATTCCCTCTCAGGGTTTGATTGGTCCAGGTAAAGAGACCAGATGTGACTTCTAACCTTCTCGCTCTGCCTCCCTCCGAGTCCCCCGAAACCCTCAAAGCTCTCCAGGGTTCTCTGGGTACAAACCCTCCTTTGTTTGTCCCCTGCAGCACTGAGTCCAGCCATGATGTCATGGCTATTTGAAGGGGTTTAACTGGCCAACTATAATAACCCATTCCTTTAAAAAACAGCCTCCTCTGGAAGAAATATTTCTCTGTTGCTCACTTGGGCTCTCCACATTCCTCTCAGTTCCTGAACCTCCCAATCCAAACAGAACAAGCTCCCACACTGCCGGGGTTTTCTTTTTGAGTTTTTTTCCCCCTGAATCTATTTCCTCTTTACTTTTCTGCGTTTCTAGGGAACAATGGCGCCCTTCATACGTCTGTCCTGTTAAAGTTATCCTTAACCACTATTGTCTTTACACAATGTTGGCTCACTAGATTGCAGACATGGGTGAGGTAGGAAATCTTATTGCTGCCATATGGTTGTTATTTCTGGAAAACGTAAAACTAAACAATCGATAAATGAGGGGTGAAGGTGGGGCCAGTTGTGTGTGCTGGAAAGTAAGTAAAAGCTGCATCTTATTATGCAATCAGTGATCAAAGAAAAGCTCTTATACTTTATGTACCAGATTCAATCAAAAGAGTCATGATTTCACTGCATGCGAGTAAATGTTAAAGTATCAGGTTGATTAAAATGCATTCAGCCTCCTTGCATACAACTTTAAATCCATTCATGGTCTAGCTACAGCATTTAGGGTCTGACACCATCCCCTTCCACTTCATTCACAAATCCAGCCACAGGAAGCAGGTCACTACACACTCGCTCTGCTGGCCTCCTATGCCAGCTGAATCACAGGAAGAGGCTAAATGATTTGAGGTCAGAATGAGCTCCAGATGTTGATGGGGACATTGTAATGTCCAGGGAAAGTTATGCTCAGTGGCCTCACATTGTACTCTGGAAATCTCAAAACAGCTACCACATGTGATCAGTCACATACAGGTCAATTTATCTAACAGTCGGCCTGACGAAATCTGAGCGCCCGGAGCCAAAATCTCCATGTAGAAATATTGAGTGCTGCCAGCCCTGTCATTTTTTCATCTGAGTGGACATAAAAATTAAAATCCAATCTTGTAAATGCTAATATGACAATCCCATCTTAATGCTAATATGCGGCTCGCTGTAGTCTGAGCAGCTGAAGACTGGTCCAGCGTGCATAATTTTGTCCTGGTGGGGTTACTCGCAGGGGATCGGTCCAGTTGTCAGGAGACCACCCCAAACAAGGCCCAAACAGCCAGCTGGAGGGATTGAGGAGGCGCCATGTTGCACTGACTGACCAGATTCTTTAGATAGCTCAGGGGAGGACAGGCTGTCCACTGGCAAATGGGAGGAGGGAGATCTCTAGCTACAGTCAAACCCCCTTTTTCTTTACATCCCCCTGCATCCCACCTGCTGCAAAACCCCTCACACTTAATATTTCACCCCATGTCTTCGTTGTCTCTTTATCTTACTGTCTGTCTTCTGATTAGCTTCTCTGCAGGGTCCCAGGGGAGGTTTAAAACATTATGTGCTCCACATATGGCCTTGAACTTGGGCTGCAGCCAGGATTTTGTTGACCCCTCTCTCCTGACCAGCAGTATAACTGACTACAGTTGTCTCTCAACTTTTCTTCATTCTGTGATCCAGTAAAAATACTGTGATGGATTAATGATGGATACTGTGTGTGGAGCTTTGCTGGGAGCAAATAAGCGCAGTCCTCTGATCTTTTTGAGCAACATAGTAGTCCTCCCAGCAGGTCACTGCATTTAACTGCACGCAGCTAAATTAAAATAGCTGACAATTAGGTTATTCAACGTTAATGGAAAGTGTTACTCATGATAATTGCCGACTATTTGGCTGCATTTAGCTGACTGCAATCCTGAAAGTATTTTGACAATGAGGCCATTTAATCTTTGTGGCAAAAGATAAACAACCAAGAGCGAAGCGCAGCTCCAATGGAACAATTATCTATAAAAACAAACACTTGTGCCTAATGGGATAAAGGACAAGATGGAATAAATAGAGGGGTGGTGGTGTCATGTTTAGTACCTCGAGTCGGCCTCTCACACAATCAACCCCACTAGAGGAGGAGTAGGAAATGGAACAAGCCAGATCAGGATTAAGAGTCAGGCCAGAAAGTCTTTAGGTATCTCCATAAAGGGCAAAAACACCCCTGATAAAAATCTCATGGAAATATGCTTCCAAGAAAGACTTGTGATTGAACTTCAAATGGTGTTTTTCTCCAAACGATATCACAGAGTGGGAGTAGAGCAAAGCATGCAGTCAGGTTGAACTGATCCCTGCCAACTTCATCACATCGGTCTTAAACTGTTTCACTGACATCTTCATCCTCACACTGAGCAGAAGCCAAAGCATACAAATGAACTGTCACGTAAACACATCGCAGAGTAAAATGAATCTATCACAGATATTAATCTGTTCTCTGTGTCTGCTCATGTGGCTTAGTGGGCTTCAATTGATCAAAATCAAAATTCTGTAGTATCCAGATTTAAATCAATATCAAAATAGAGAAAATAATTTGGCATGGATTTTGTGTATTTGGCTCTTCTGCAGGAAAAAAATATTTATTCCAAAAAATCAGTCTGTCTCTCATTATTTAAGAGATTTTATTTCAGTGTCTGAAAAATAACAATCTCTAAAAGGTGAGAGAGGGGCCAAGCACCTGGAATAGAAATATCATCTAAGTACTTCTTGTGAAAATTGAAAATGATGTTGGTCATTTTTTTATGCCTTATTGTTTTTTTTTGTTTGCTCTTTTGTTCCTTTTCATCATATAATATCTTTAGATTACATATTCTCTCTTCTCCACCTTAATGGGCCTACACATTCTTATCTGTCACCTATGTCTTGTCTGTTATACCTTGATTACAACTCCATCGAACCATAACTATATCTTCCAAGTTCTTTTAGCATTTCGAACTAACACTTGAATATATTTTCACACCAACCTCAACTTTTTTTTCAAAATGTTTCAGCTGTGGATTTTGTATTGTAATAATGAAAAATATAAAAAATCTAATCTAATGGTTTCATGGTTGTTGTTAGCAATCATATGAATGATCCACAGAGAATTGTTCAACGTAAAACTTAAGACACAGACACAGACATACCCATGTCTGACTTTGATACTATATAAGACAACTATAGTCTGAACCTTGACATTATATCTGGCTATGTGCCTGGATCGCCAACCTTTCGTTTGATCACAATCAGCAGGCACCCTCTCTTTGAACTCACCGACAGCTTCCTATTGAGGGGGACCTTCAAATAAACTTCAGTCTATTCCCAACTCGCGAGCGTTATTTGCAATGAAATGAAGCATTTTATAAAGTGCTGTGTTTTCCACATCTGCCTGAGTATGGATCATCTTCTGGAGCCAGTTTGTCACAAGACCAAGCTGCAGCTCCTTTTCAGAAAGCGAGAGAGATCGCAGACTCTAGCCCTAATTAGGCATCTTAGAGTAATTAGGCTAAACACAGCCTTCACGCTCCACTCCGCTCATTCATCATGCTCCGCTCTAGCACAGAGGAAATGCACTGTATGCACATGCACAAATGTGTAACACACGTAGTCAGATGGTGCCTAATCTTCCAGGCCCCATTCAAGAGCTGTGTGAGAGTCTGACGACAAACCACCAGTATTACACTGAATGTGGTTCTTATTGTGGAACTGCGGACCTTCTGCCTCCACAGAGTTTAGCCTTAGGAAAAGGAAGAGCTTGAGATCCATTTGAGTAACAAAGGATGAAGTGGTATGAAACAATATCCTGTGCCGATGTTGACTTTGGGCTGGAAGAGGTAGGGGCTGTAACAAATACTATAGATCAGAGGATCAACAACTAAACCTACATAAATCCACTCGTTTTAGACCTCAACCTCTGTGAGTGATGCTGTCTTTAATCATTTGAACTGGATCTTTGGCACAAGGAAAGCATTAAAAATACAGTTTCAAAACACCACATTGGATGATGATGCGCTCTGATTGTATAAATCAGGGGGCTGACTAAATGCCAGTCACTGGTTTTAGTTACCAGACAGGTGACTTCATGTTTTATAAGTGCTGGATTAAGAATTTAACAAGAGGGACCCTTCAGAGAAACAGGTTATATAAACTTTCCAATGTGCTACATACAAACTCCCAATTTACTCACTGATGACGATGAGAGTGTAGTTGATGTTAACGCTACCAAAGCCATTAGTTGCTTTGCAGATGTAAGTCCCTGTGTCATCTGCCTCCACCTCCTTGATCTTCAGGACCATACGGATGAGTCGGAAACGGATCCAGCCGTTGTGGATGTTGCGCCCATCCTTGGTCCACATTATGAGGGGCGGGGGGTCTCCTTCTACTGGGCACAGCAGCTTAATGGCGCTCCCAAGCCGAGCTGTCTGCCTTTGAGCAACTTTCTCTGACACCCGTGGAGGTCCTGAGGACACAAAAATGTTAAAATAGTGAATTTATTTATCAATTTTTTGTTGTTTTTGTGCCCTTGTTTTTTTCCTGTCATGGTGAAATACAAATGAAACAATATCAAGGCAGTAAATCACAGATTTTGACCAATAGATTTATAGAGACAACATAGTTAACTAGTCATTACAAATGCTGTTAGTAAAAAAATAATAAATCCGGAACAGCTACTAAATAGACCTTACAGTTTCCCAGGTGTAGGAAAAATATTTTTGATCTCTTCTCCATTCTTTAAATCATCTCCCAACCTCTACAAGAAGTCCTGAATTAGAAAATAACACCATGACACATAAATGCTATAGATGAAAATTCCAAGACACTTTCTTCACCTATTAAGACATTTCTAGGACCTTCAAGGTCATTAACATAAACATGATTTTAAAACAATCACACTGAGTTTAGTCTTCAGGTGTAGTCAGAGGAGCCTCTCTCAACAAGGCAACATAAATGTTAGCAAAACCACTACTTGACATTTAGATTATGTATAAAAGGAGTCTGAAATAAGAAAATAAAATATAAAATATAAGTACTGTATGTATCTTGATTTCACTAACTAAAAATAGCTCTATATTGAGTTTTTGAACACCTCAGATGTGGGCAAATGGAATAGGATAAAGGTAATTTGTCATCTTTATGGCTGATTACCCAGAAATGTCGAAACCAGATTGTAATAATTGGACAGGCCCTGTCATCCGCTGCCTCTGCAGAGAGGGTAAAGTGTTCTGGCTCTGGTTTTTTTGTAGCGTGCAAAGGATCAAAGCGATGAGGGGGGCGGGTTGTGGAGAGATGGACAGCAGCCTGTTCTCCCAGCTCTTAATTGGCTCAGGTCTGCTCCATCAGATCTGATGAAGTGGAGCGGACCGAAACACCCTGTGATGGTGTTAGGAGGCCTGCACTACTGCTGCTTGAACAGCACCAGGCGTTCCACTAACCCCCCACTAAAAACTAAACAAAACCCTGAATCCCTGAACAGACAAGACTGAGGAGAAACAGGAGATCAGGGAAGAGGACGAGGGGGAGGGAATGCAACCAAACCCTATTGCTTCAACAGCCCTCAAAAGTACACAGAGCGCAGACTGTGCCCGAGAACAAATGGCAGTCTGGTAGCAGTAAAAACAATGGGGAGGGTAAGTACACATGGCCTCTCCTAATGCATACACACACACACGCTCACACGCTCACACACACACACACACACACACACGCACTCACACGCACATTCACAAGTGATACAAGTCACATTCCTTGGGTGTATTTCACACATATGGTAAACAAAAAGCTCATTAGACTGATGGGGCTGCAGTACGGAGGTGAAACAGGTAACTCCATCTGGCTGTTTTAATTCTTTGCGTTATATATCAACCAACAGATGTGTCTCAGCTGCAGGTAAAACATCTGGACTGCTAACATTGACCTCTTATTCTATTTAGGCATCCTATGAAGGCAAAAACAGTTAAACCTATTATATGAAACATCAAAAATCTTATTTATGGAAACACAGACACTAGAGTTTTCCTTCCTCTCCGTGGATGGCCTTTTCTGGTCCAAAGCATGGACAGGAAATTGTAAGTGTCATTGTTTATGTCTGTGGAGAAAGCGCGACCGCAAATTTTTTGGCTGTTGTCAGCTGGCCCATATCTCACTCCACTGCTACCAGGAAGCAGAACAGAGGCGCTCACTGTTCACTTTCTAACCCTGCTTGAAGACCACAAACAGGTCACAGCGTTGGCTCGCTGCAGCTGGAGCTCACATGGGCTGAGTTGATCCCAATACTCTGAACCACCTTGTAAATACATCAACATATTTTTGCCAAATCTGAAACAAATAAGCTTCATTTATTTCCTCTACCAAACAGTCATGCAAGCCAGTCAGTCGTGTGTTTCTTTTGGAATAATGGAAAGGGCTGACAAAGAAAACCAACAGTCAATTCATGGCAAAGGTTAAACAGAGGTGTCAAAACACATTGACTCTGCACATGGTAATGCTTCTGTTAGCGCTGGAAGGGTATTGCTTCAGTGTTATATTCACCCAGGTAAATAAAAAAGTCAGGGGAATGTCAGTATTCTTTTCCATTCATAAAAAAAAAAGATAATGTTACATGGCAAAAGCTCTCTGTTGTTGTTGTTGTTGTACCAATCTAAACATTTCATATCACCTTATAGTCAACATTCCTTCTTTTTTTATTAAAGGAGCAATATGTAAGATCTTAGCAGACAGGAAACATGTAGTCAGTAAGTCCTCCTTCCAAGTTTCAATTCTGGTCCAGAATGGTCTGTATTTGTTTTGACCAGAGAAGGTAGGTGGTTCTAAGGCACCCCCCATAGGGCTGTATTGGATGCCCCTCAGTTTGCCAGATATGAGACCAGTTATCACAACAAACCAACAAGTCTTGCAACTTAGCAGGCAAACAAACTAGTTCAGATAACTAATTCTAGTCAACCTAAAAAGCCTCTGCACTTCTAATAAATTTAACGACCAGAAATTTGGTAAAAGTAGGATGAATATCGGAGGTGCTTTTGAAAAATGGAGAGAGGTTAAAATGCAGAAAGGTTTCAAGACCGTTGCAAAGCTGGCTGAACACTGAAGCTTCTGTGTCTGCAACATGGACACACGAGTGCGTATGGACTAAGGGAGGAGGGGTCGGGGGGACACAGCTCTCGCCAATGATTAGAATTTAGACAGCAGTACGAATTTTTCAACACTACGTGACAGGGTCACACATTGCATATTTTTTTCATCTGTTAGATTGAAACGTTTACTTTGAAAGGGCAGAGAAAAATTGGATAGACTTAGCTGTCATGGCTCTTAAGATTTAAGACTCAGAGAGTAAATTTGAATATTGATACCGCATTTATCTTTGTTAACTATATCTAAGACTACATCCAGCAGCTGGTAAACTTAGCGTAGCACAAAGAGTAGGAACAGGGGGAAACAGCAAGAATTAAATCCAAAGTTAACAAAATCTAGCACCTCGAAAGTCACAAATGAATAGGTTAATATCTTTTTTTTTAAATCCAAACAAATAAACAACTAAATGTCTAACCAGTCCGTTGACTGCTATAGGTCTATGTAGTCTAGAACTTGGGCTATTCAAGACAACTCCACCTCTTGATTTATTTGGCTAGATAAACTAAAAAGCTTTGGCTGGTGCTTCAAGTAAAAGGAATGTGCAGCACACGATTTCCTCCCTTCACCTCCGCTCTTTGAACCTTTGAAGTCTTTTCGAAAAACAAGGCATGAGGAGGTGCTGAAATCAAGGACATCATCTGAGGTACTTAATAAGTATTTGTGCTGTGTGCATGACCACCATCCTTTCTTCTATTGGGACTCTCCTCCTCTTTCTCTGCCTCCCCCATCTCAAGGACAGGTTTTTCTTAACCTTGAAGTTGAAAGCTCTGACAAACAGAGGCCCTCTGTAAATTAAAAAAAAGTGAACTGAGGGAAATTGTTGCCTGCTTGACTGTGAGATAAATGTTCATGTTCAATGTAAAATGTAGCATAGAGTCACTTTTTTGTTTCAGCTTCAGTCTTATTCATCCTCTACAGATCCTGTGATGAATAGGATTCTGCCAGCTTCATGACAAACTGCTGAGTGTTTCAGAGTGTTTACTCAAATTGTTAGAATTGTTAGCTTCTCTGTTAATGGAAATTGATGCACATGACCATATGGGCTTTCCTCCGTATCGCAGTGTTGGTTCCTTATTAAAGCCCAGCCCCGTCTGTGAATGGAATCTTTCATTGCACAGGAAGAGGAGGAGGAGGAGGAGGAGGCCTGGCGACTCTCAGAATTAGCTCTGTTTTCCTTTGCTGAATTTGGTGATAGATTATTTTAAGAGAAAGGGGCACATTCAATGGGAGGCATTCTTGTAATCCAGACTAAATATAGCCAATTTAAAGAGAACCTTGTGAGCCGGTTAATGAACTGTTGATCTGACGTCCAGGCATCTGTGGAGGGGAATATGTTACATTGAGAGAGGAGCACAGAAAAATCTAATTGCAGACTACAAAGGCTGCCAGATTTAAGCAATGATCAGATGTGCCCGTACTTTCTCTTTTACAAAACACCTGTGGAATTATAATGATGTGTACATGCATTTTTTTCTCCCATACAAAGTGCCTTGGTCTTTCATATTCATTGAAAGTCAATAAAAGGCTGGCCTGGCTGCTGACAAACCCTCCAATAGTGAACACCTGGATCTTAATCAACCGCAATGAGAACGACCCGGTAATGCACGCAACACCGTCTGCTCAATACAGGATATAGTTATTCAAACAACATTGTAAACATCTTCTAATAAAAAGGATTTGGTCCTTAATCTCCAGCCAACTAAAGGAATTTCTCATGCATCAAAAGGCTTTTGCACACAGTCAGACTTTGATGATTCATTACTTGGATAAACACTGATCTGAGTGAATGTGTCTTCAATATGCGGTATATACATGAAGGATAAGAGGAAGAGAGACAGAAAGAAGATGGAGAATGCCTCCTACTATTCAGCAGCACTGTGTAAGCTCAGCAGACCGTGCAATAGGAGACAGACCTCGAATATAACAGGGGAAGTTTAATGGAGCCTGTGCTTCCAGCAAAATATTCTATCATGCATCTCTTAAAGCCTCAGGAGCACTTGTGTAACATAAATCAACAAAATGGATGTACAAAAAGTAAATTCAAGAAGCATTAAAGGGAAGAGGGGAAAATGCACAAAACATGAAAGCTAGAAACCAAATCCAGAGCTGGTGACTTTACTTGAGACTGGAGGGGCTGGGTGAAGGCAAAAGGTTAGGTAGACACTGCAGCTCAGGGAGTGTGTGAAAGGCCAGAGCTGCTGTTCAGAACCTGCTTCTGCTTTGCTCAGCTATACATTTCACAGGCAGAGATAAAATCAGCAGAAAACAGAAAGAGAGAAAAAAGAAGGGGAGAGGGACCTTGGCAATTCAAAAAAAAGGTGAGGTGAGAGG